AAAACCTACAGTACTATTAAAGCAGTTATCCAAAATGTAGTGCTATTAGCCAGTATAAACCTTTAAATCAGTCAGGGATCAAATATATATATACACACACTTATATATATACGGTTTTTAATTTAAGCCAGAGGCCAACAATGTAAGTGGGTCACTTGAAAAAAAATTGGCAAAAAACATTTAAGGAAAGCTGTGTATACCATTTTGCCATTGCGAAAGTCAATGGGCATCATTAGATCGGCAAGTTTGGCTAATGAGGTCGCAGGCAGAGCAAGCATTTTAGAGGATCCTCTTTTTAGGACCATTCTGTAGCCCCTTCCCCAGTCTCAAGCCATTCTTTTACGAATTTTGAACAGGTGAAAACTTCTTTGAAGGGGACTTATTTTTTAATGCTGATGATGCCAGCCCATAACCTTAATTTTACTTATGCAAAAGAAGAGATGAAGCGAGCAGAGTCTGTGCTTGCTTGGCCAAACCACCTCAGGGGCACGACGGTGGCTGGAGGGGAAGCAGCACTGCTCCTTTCCCTCTGGCATAGCTTCCCGCAGCCTTCCCCAGAGCGCTCTCCCTGCCCTCCGACTAAAGGCCAAGTTTGTTGGGAAGGGTTCACGACAACTCCTGTTCACCAAAAGTAAACACCTTTGGCATATACATGCTTGTACTACGCTAACGCGTCTCCCTCCCATACAAGAAACGCTGCATTGAGGAGAGGTACCGAAGCAGTTACACCATGACCCAAGTACTTGCAGATCAATCCCCAAGTACTGAGAAGAGACTCATTGCTCATTCTGAGCAATTCACAACAGCAGAAAATTATACTTCATTCCTTAACCATGCAAAGACATGAAAAGACCTTTTAATGCAAACATCGGCATTGTAAATCTGCACACCCTTCTTCAAAAGCAGCTTTGCCCTTCGCACAGATATTTATGTTGTTGGGCATAATGCATCTTCCTTCATGCATCTGATTAAGGATTTCCTTAGAGACTTACGATATGTTAGCTAACGGGTCGCCTATTTTAGGATAATCTAACATTAATACTTCTGAGATCTCAAGTACATTTGACCTTCTCCAGTTCTACTGAAAAGAAATCGGGTAATTGTAGGAAAATGAACCTATTAATTTCCCAGGAACCAAAAATTGATGATAGCAAAGAAGAGAAAAGCAAGGACACTCTGTTACATCATTTATTCACTTTCACAATACCATTCAGTATCATCTTTCCAAGTACTGCTGTTCACAGAATTAACTCTTTGGATCCTGATACTCATATTAAGGAATATCTTGCCAAGAAATGGATTATATTATTTTTGGATTAAAACACCATTAAATGTGAAAACAGATGTCAGAAACTCATCTACATTTTTACTTCTTCAAAAAATTGTGAATTCTGGAATAAGAAAAGTTGCATCTTTTATAAGGTTAGATCTAGGAAGTACTGAGTAGACAAGATCTCCTTCTGCTATACCTATCATGAATACATCTGGATGATATAAAAATTATGGCTTGAAGAATTGCTGTACAATCACATTTCCCTAAAGGTACACAGGGTTCAGGAAGCTGCTTCATCCTATATTATAACTCCTCATCCCAAAACGACTAACCCCCTAATCTGAATAGAGATTTTACTGTTTAATACAGCTCCACAAACCACACACTATTATCTTAGAAAAACAAACTGTGTTTTTAAATAATGGCAAGATGATAAAGGTACATGATGATGCACAAAACACTGAAAGGGCTGACAACAGCCTGCCAGCATAAGCACAAACAGCGTGAGATTAGGCTGCAGATGCAGCCATAGCAAGTGCTGCAAAGATGCTGGGCTCAGTAAACTCTTGTGTCACGTTGTTTGATGCCACTTAGTCAAGGAAATACAAGATCCTAAAATATTTCGAAATCAGAAGGTGGCACATAAAATGCATTGTTGCCTTCGCTTCATAGCACTCCTACCCCTCAAAAAAATAACCAATAAATCAAGACAGAACTGAAAACTCCCAAACAAACAGGGAAGAGAAAGGAAGGAAAAGGAAGAGAGGAAAGGTGAGAGAAGGGGAGGGGAAGAGAGAGAGAGAAAAAGAGGGAGAAAGGGAGCAAAAGGAGGGAGGGAGGGAAAAAGAAATAAGGGGGGGGAGAGTGAGAGAAAGTGAGAAAGAAAGAAATAAGGGGGAGGAGACTGAGAGAGAGAAAGTGAAAAAAAAAAAAAAAAAAAAAGGCAAGAAAGCAAGCAAGCAAGAAAGGAAGAAAGGAAGGAAATAAGTATGGGAGTCGGTGGGAGAACCAGTGCGTCACACCTGTTAAATTACAGGTCTGGGAATAGGGATACACACAAACGATTTACAGCCTGATTTGCGTACATGATTAAGATGTATTATATTACTTATAAAAATGACAATAAACGTCCTGACTAACAGAACCTGCATCTGACAAGGCTGTGTCAGGTCATGAGCTTTTGAAGACAAACTGTTAAAATCCTATCTAGCTCCAGTATCTCTGTAAAATGGTGTCCTAGCTGAGCCCTGGCCTAGTTTTCTACCCCTCTTCATGTTTCTGAGACCGACATCACTGAATTCATTGTCTTCTCCCTCAATGACAGAAAAGTGAGAGTTTTAGCTTCAGGATGGCTGGGGTTTCCGGGCTGTTTTTTTTTTTTTTTTTTTTTTTTGTCCAACTTATTGAAATGTATGGGTACTCCTGCTGAAGCTTAGTTGGTATGTTAGCAATATAGTGATAAATTAGCCATTTGTTTATGCCAGAACGAGCAGGGAAAGTAATATCCTAAGGCACTCCAGTATTACTGCAAGGCCAGTGTGATTTCTGAGGCATTAGGCTGAAGGCTGAGCAAGTTCTTTCAACCAAACTATACTGTCTTATTGCTATAATGAAATAATTATACAAAACTAATGAAAATGAGACATACTTAATAATTCTCTGGGTAAATCCATGACATAGATATGACAAAACTGACAGGGTATCAGAAAGCTCCATTTGTGCCCATAATTTTCAGGTAATAATTTTAACAGTGCCATTTGTGTTTCACTACAGCTGGTCTGCTGTAGATGTTTTTAAAAGCAGCACTAAATACTGAACATATTTCATCATTAAAGCCAACTATTTGAGCATGGCCATTTTTTACACTACACATTTTCACTGAAGTTACAGACAACTATCTATTAACATCTAATCTTGCATCTTTTCCCCAGGTAAATTTCACTGTATTACAATGGGAAGTTTGTCAAAGTTAAATGCTATGTAAGTGGGATCAGTTTTTTATATACCTCCCAACTAAACACAGCAAGCACCTATATTAAGTGATCTTTTTGTCAAACCTTAAAAAGAAAAAAGAAAAAAAAGTGTTTTATATCTCACACAACTGTTACTTAGTAATTTCTACATTTAATATTTAATAGAGTGAATTCTTGCTTAGTTTCTGTGATATACAACCTGTTTTATACACAGTGTGTATGTACCATTATGGATATAACTAGGAATATAACTAGGAAGTGAGCATTAATTTATATTAAACGCATTTCCATTTCTATTTTAAAAGCGCTTGCTCAGAGCACCTGTGAAATTACCAATATTTTTAACTAAGAGATTAGGAAATATTTAGAGTGGCAGATACTCTGTGAAATAGTTATCAGCCCTCCAATTTTCAAGGAGGTGGCAGAAATGTGTTTGAGGACAAATTTTTAGCAGGGCCTATTGCAACAGGACAAGGAGTAATGGTTTTAAACTAAAAGAGGGTAGATTTAGACTGGATATAAGGAAGAATTTTTTTATAATGAGAGTGGTGAAACACTGGAACATGTTGCCCACAGTAGATACCCCATCCCTGGATACATTCAAGGTCGGGTTGGACGGGGCTCTGAGCAACCTGTTCTAGTTAAAGATGTCCCTGCTCATTGCAGGGGGGTTGTGCAAGATGACCTTTAAAGGTCCCTTCCAACCTGAACTATTCTATGACTCTATGAAATAAAACACACCAATATCTAACTTCCTTGTAACTGCAAAAAAGCCAATGTACAGAATTTGTCCATCTCCGACTAACTGGTGATCCTCGCTCAAGACTTCAAAAGTCCCCATGGGGCTAAATTAGATCTGCAGGCCATACTATTACAATGACAGAACCTAAACTGTTGTAGATTGTTGTTGCACTGCTGAGGTCTCAGCCTATGCTAACTCCCGGTTCACATCGTAACTTTACACATCATAAGTAATTTGAATCACTAAACACAGCAGTTACCTCCAGACTTACTTTCAGCCCTAAGTCCCTGATCAGACTAAAAGTCACACAAAGTTTATATTGTTGGACACAGGCCTGTATCATGCATGTTCTTTTTACAAGTCCAGGACCATGACAGAAGAGGAAATTCAAGATCATGCTAGTCTAGCTTATGCCCAAGAACTTTCCTAGATACTGCATGGACACAATAGGTATGTATTGAGGCTAGGCACGCTCAATTAGAGCCCACCAGTAAACTCTGTGGGGAAATTATACTGTCAAAGTTGGCACCAAAGTGGCCAAAAGGTGTTTCCTGAGAGAATCCCTGGGCCCCATGGGGCAGTGGCCAGCCACCTCACATAGGATGCCTCAGCTGAGAATGGCCGGGCCACCCTACTCCTACTCCTGGGTAAAAGCACCCCAAGAACAAGGCCAATAGCATGGCACATCACCAGAGCTGTGAGCAGGAAACACATCAAGGTTTAACTGCACACATCTTTCAACGTGAATACAAGACACAGTATCGTGCACAAAAGGAGAAGCCCTTTATAGGCGTAGGAGTACAATCTAATTTGGTCTACGTAAACCAAAGAAAAGAGACAGAGACCCCATGGAACTCAGGAATAGTGTTGAAAATATGCTGGCAAGAAAATTTTTTCACAGAAAAAGATACCCATTCACATTCTTCTTAGCTTGCTTATAATGTACAAGACAACATACAAAAGAACAAACAATTACATTTAAAAGAATGACCAACTGAAATTTTGAACTTACATATGACGTAATAATCTTTGTTCTTCTGAAACTCCAGGCCCCAGAGATTAGGACTGAACTCTTGAAACTTGATGGTAAACTTAACATCTTGATCTGGCTTGGCACAGTTGAGTAGAGGTGTATTGTCCTTCTTAATAGCACAGCTATCTGCTTGGTCTTTATCAACCATGTAGACCTTATAATATTCATACTGGCCAACAGTTTTAGAGTCCACCTTTGGGCATATAATGTCCAGTTTGTCTCCTATCTGTGGATATAGTACCAATCCTTGTCCAGGAAGGAATCTAAAATGGAAAAAGGAGGAAAAAAAAATAAAAAAGAGAGAAAAAAAGGGAAAAATGTGAGACACTTGATAAAATCTCATCCAGAAAAGTAGCAATTGCAGTGGACGGAAAAGAACAAACACAGTTTCTGAAACCAAAATGACAGGCTGAGCAAACCAGATCTGAATAGTTTGGGCCTGACTCAAGTTAATATCAACAAAATGTTTATTTAGATCTTGGAAATTACAGACAGATTGAGTCCTATAGTCCTTATCCTAGTTTTGGGAACTCTAGTAGGTTTTACGTCTCTGGCAGGCACCACTGTTTCTTCCACATTTGGCCATTTACAGCAGCTAGTACAACGTCTGGTGGGCTACAATCCTGTTTTTCTGCTTTGGTAACATTTTTACTATTCTTGCACATATTTTGCTAATTGCAGACATGGGAGAATGACAAGAATAATCTTTCAAAGCCCCTGAGCAGACATGTGGGAAAGAAAACAACTTAAAGAGTTAACAACATATTAAGATGCTGATTGATATTAGTAGTATAGCACAAAGGAACATCAATCACTCACCAGGATCATGCTTACAGACCTGGGGTGGACAGAGATCTACTTGACCCAAGGACCACACATGCTTCTGATAAAACACTTTTCTAAGACAGTGTGACACTACAATGATTTCTTCTCTTCATAAACTTTACCATTACCATCACTGTTTTAGTGCTTTTTTTATTTCTTGTGCTACAAGTGAAACCTGGGAGTGTTTTTGCGTTAGTATAGAGGAAGACTTCTTACGCAAACTGTCAGTGAGCTTTAATGTTTGGGGCTAGACTCGATATTGTATCTTTCCTACTTTTATTAATAGGCAAACTTCATCACTTATTCACAAAATAAAAATATAAATAATTACAATGTAATTAATGATAGTATTGATTCAACAACAAAATGAGGAGCTGCCTTCTCACAAGGACAAAAGCCACAGCATGTTTGTTTGTTTCCTTCTCCGAAAGATGTATTTGTTCCAATTAAGGCCAAGAAGTGCGTGTTTTAGAACTACAGCCAACGACACAACATCCTCGAATGCACAGACCTAAAAGACTGACTTTCCTTTTTCTCCTGCCTGCCAGCCTTTTCCAAAGATCTTCCTTAATGGAGAATCGGCCTGAAAAACTGACTGAAACAATTGTTGCCTAATGAACACCCTTCTCCAAGTGCTAGCATTTAAACGGCACATGTAGTAAATCTAGCTTATTCACAGGCAGCCTTCCTGGAAACTTTAAATTAGAGTATTAAGGCCCAAGCAGAACAAAACTGTAGGCGTTGGTGACCTCCAGTCTCTGGCTTGGCTGAAGGAGCTCACCAGCATGTAGTAGTGCTGGGGGAGAACTTACTAAATTAGAGAAAAGGACGATGTGATGCCCCAAATTTCAAATTAATTGTTTATAACAGCTTGCTCCCACACAATGCAAGTTTATGATCTGTGCTAATTGAGCAGGATGATTTTCACTCACAAAGCCTGTGTAAGAATTCTATTTGTTGTGAAGCAGCACATAGCAGGACAAAGGCATGTAATTACAGATTTAGGGAAAAAGAACAATGAAATCTTATGGCAAGAAAGCGACTGTTGATGTATAAATCACTGCGCTCTTTTGTGTTGTGCTGTGTAATTTCCAGACTACAGAAACTAGGCTGGGCCACGGCTGTTCAGACTAAGATGCACTGGAGGTGGGGCGAAGCTGCGTCTCCTCCTCCAGCTTTCGGACACGCCAAAGGAATGCAGTGACTACCACCTCCCCAAAGCCAAAATGCTGAAACAATGGGAAAGGTGGAAAGGCATCCTCGTCATTCACCAGCCTGGTGAGGGACGACTGAAGGAGAGGCCAGCTCTGCAAGGGCGCCAAGGAAATGGGGGGAGGAAGACCCCTGACAGCAAATGTTCCCAAAGGAGCCGCACAGCCCCTGACTGGGGCTCTCCTGGGGGACTGACTGCGGCCAGGCAAAGGCAAAGGGACAAAGTTTCTGAGCTAACCTCCGTCACCTGTGACTGACTTGACCATCTTGTCTGACCCCAGCCCCATTTTACTTTGCTCCTGTGCAGCAGTGTTGTACCAGAAAAATGAAAATTACTCATACTTCCCCATCTGTATGCCAGGACAAAGGCGGGTCACTGTATGTTCCCACCACTGCAAATATTTCTTCTTGCCAGTAATGCTTTTTTTCATGTAACAGGGATGTGTAATACTAAACACATGAGATTTCAGAGGACCAGATCTTTGTTTTTAAATTAATCAATTTAGATTCCCATGCATAATAAATATGAAAAGTTAGAAGGTTAGAAATGCACACCTGTCTATCATTATCAATAATGTGACCTAAAAGCTGCCCTGAAAAACAGAAACCATTGATTCTGAGTTTTAGATTTTGTGTATATGTATGTGTGCAATGAAGCAGCAGCGGTCTATGATCTCCATGCAGACTCTGAGCACAAACAGGATGGGTTCAGAGATGGCATGCCAGGCAATCCTCAGAAACAGCTACCGGAGAGAAAGTACCCTTGTGTGCCTTGGTTAAGTAGCCAGGAATTGCTCCATAAAAGGTAGAGGACAGAACCACCCCCAACAGACATCTAAAACACATTTTACAAGAGCTTTAAACTGACACACTCGTTAGACTTTATGACAGGGGAATATTCTTGCTATGGCTGTGAAGTCTGTACAGTTTGAGAACTAAAGTTGCTAAATGTCCTTCCACTTGAGTTTCTGAACTCGTAGGATCTAACACTGATGGGATTAGGAAAGAAAAAAGGCTGAAAATGAAAGGATTAATCTGAGAACTTGATCGTATTGAAATTTTTTCCACAGTTTGCAGTTTTGATCATGACCTTTGCAAGAAAGATATTTTTCCAATTTACTTTATTTTCCTGCAACAATAAAGCACAAATATAGATGGAATTAAAAAATTTCACATCATGCATTTCAGTTTGACCACTAATCTTAGTGGGCGATTAGTAGTAGGCATGATTATTATACCTGCATTTGTGTAGTACTTTTGCTACTGTATTTTCATAAAGACCTTAGATAAAACATTTGCTCGGTAATAAGCATTTTCTGAAGCTATTTATTAAATGTCAGAGGGATTAAGACTACTCTCCTTGTATCTGGGAAAAAAAAAAAAAAAAAAAGTACATTTATCCTTGTTAGAGGTTAACAAAAACTTGAGGATTAAACCTGAATCTTTATTTCCACAAGTGCTGACGTAGCCTTAAACATTCTGGGATAGCATCAACACTTACTAAACTTTTGCAGGGTGGCATCTGCAAAAATGAAGTGAATGAACTGGCTTTAAAAGTCTGATCAGAATCTGCCTTCAACTAATTAAAAAACTTTATTTTTTCGCCCCCTCCCCAAACAGAAATATAATGAAGACAGAGCAAGAGGTTTTCAAAATCCTGTGTCCGATGCCGAGGAGGCCACGTTACTCCAGTGGTTGCTTGGGACAGGGACACACACTTTCAGCAGCTGGGATAACAACAGCACTGGAACCACTGCTTCTATAAAAAGGTAACTTTGTAACTTTCTGCTTTTCAACTCTAGATATTCCTTACTGGGAAACCTACATACCAATACAGGCCCCTGTACCCGAACAGAGATTTAGGAGAAAAGCTTCGCAAATTTCTCCAACTAATTTCTGTTAGCAGTCAGATATAGTGAGACTACAGCATTCAAGGAAACTACAGCATTCAAGGAATCATGATCACAATTAATAATTCTAGTGCTTACTGTGAGAAAGCACAGAGAAGTATAGTAAGTACAGTAAAAGCTGCACAATGTAATTAATGCGCTTTCTGCCTGATACTTTTGGATTCAGAGGGCATTTTTGCTGTCAGCCCCAAACTGGTATATTGTGAGCAACATCTGACATCTGTGCAAAGCCCGTGGATGTGAATCCCTCCCACGCGTCCAACCCATCACGCAGCTCATGAAATAACAGCAACATGCAGAGTTCCCAACCCTTTTCAAAAATAAGGATTGGATTAGACCAAAAAGACACATGACAACAGAAAACAGGAACAGAGTAGTCCATTCCCCACTCCCACCGATGTTAAAGTAATTTTCTGTACCACATTTATTTTAAGGCCCATCAGTTCCTGGCACTAGTGTACCCCTACTGGTCAAAGTCCTAGAGAAGTTAAATTTTAATTTTAAATTTTACAAAAAAATAAAATTGAATTCTGCACAGTTTCCAACTAATTTCTAAAGAATCTACCCCCTGTTTAGAAAAACTTAGCACATTCAACCATATTATATTATAAAGGACTTTTCCTTAATGATAACCACTTGAACCTGCCTAATTTAATAACAGTAAATTCTCAGAAAGTTAGAACTTTGCCTGGCAGCACTCTTTTTCATATTCTACTATTCCTTACTACACAGGCATTTCTGAAACTGTAAAAATATCAACAGATAATATCCTTAGAGAAATAAATTCTTAAAGAGATTTTGTTAATCAATACTGGCTGATGTAACAAATGTGGTGTCATGATTTTCCCAGCTTGCAAAACTATGTATATACACACATACTCTAAATATATATATGCACACTTAGCTTTAACTATATCCTAGTAATTATAAAATAAATGCAGTTTTAGAAAGCGTGTTAGTACTTGTTGCAAGTCCTGTATATTTAACCAGGGAAGCAGTGCCAAATTTCTGTGCTTTAATACCTTACCTGAACTAATTGGTGTAGGCAGTTAGCTTTAAATTAATGTAACAAAAATAACCCTAAAAATGTGAACAATCAAGACACTTCTTAAAATGCAGCCTGAAACCTTCTGTTGCGGAATCCTACCCACTTGACTTCATGAAGTTTAACTACCAGCCTGACTATAAAGTTATTCATTGAAAAGTTTTATTAAGGAAATGTCATGAATACTAATAACACAGTATGTTAGTCCGTTACTTGTACAAGTGCAAACTGAAACAGAATACAGAATAGCATTTTATGTACAAGTCCTTAC